TTCCAATAAGCACAAAGCACCTCTCCCACACACTTAAGTTGGACATTTCCCTCAATGGAGCAGAGGAAAGGGGAATGATGTTACCGGAAAATGACGACCGGAGGCGGCACTAGAGAGTGGAACAGTCCGGAACAGGATAAAGTCATCAAGGCATAGAGCTAGAGTCATCCAAACTCACTGTGTGATAGAGAAAAGAAACCATAGTTACATTGCTTGCAATCTCGGCTTTTTTAAGCAAACATGGGTAGACACAGACTGAGGCGAGGTGGATCCACAGGCGGACACATTCGGAAACACGGTCGTGTTTCCTCAGTGTCGCGCTCGTGGTTTTTAAGCCGAGAGCTGCCAGAAGAAGAGGTAAAACACTGGCGAGCAAAGAGTAAAACACGGTCGTGTTTCACTAGTGCCACGCCTGTGTTTTTAAAGCCGAGAGAAAAAAGGTGAGTGACACGCTAAAACACAACACCTAACAATGGCCAAGTGTAACCAATGAAAGGGACTGCAGTATAGTGGCTCAAGTAATAAATATCGAATCCACGGGTCTCTAGAGTTACTATTACTCAGCTTCAGTTCATTATCTAGCAAACCAGATTAAGATGAAAGAACTAAAACTACTCTAGCAAACTACAGTTAAAGTTAATCTAATTACAGGTTGGGAACTCACTTAGGTATGATTGCCCCTAGCCACTAGCCAGATTAATGATTGATGATTTCTAACTTGTTTCACTTTCATTCACAATGCGGAGAATCCTTGACTAGACCTTGAGTCTCGACTAAAGGAACAAGGCCCTCTTGAGTCAATTGCCTAGAGGGATGTATCCTTCTCTAGAGCAACCAATCAAGGCGTTCTGAACTAGACTCCCTCTATCGAAAGAGTTTCTCAATCGATACAAAGCAATGAATTAACCCTCGACTAAGGCAATCGATCCACTACTATCAATCTATGGTGCTCTATTGACCTAATCATGTATTCGCTCTCATAGGATCAAAGCAGAATCAATAATCTCGACTAAAGCATAATTGAATCATGAAAACATGCATATATTGAATATGAACTCAAGGTGATCAAGTCAGAGTACTCATACAATCATCCAATCAAACAAACATAGCTAGGGTTCCTCAAAACCTAAGTGAAGGGAAGTTACTCCATAGAGAAGAGAGAGACTGCAGTAAGAATCTTCAGATGATCAGTCTTCAAATCCGGGCTTGTTCCTCGAGCTTCCAAGGCAAAGAAATCCTCCAATTCCACTCTTAGAATGCCCTTAAATCGCTCTCTCTCTCTCTCTCTCTCTCTCTCTCTCTCTCTCTTCGGTTCGTCCCTTAGGTGTTTGGGATCCAAAACCCAGCTCCCTCTTTCCTTTGGCTTCAATCTGCCTAAAAAACCCGATTCTGGGCAAAACACGGTCGAGGACACGGCCGTGTTTTATTTTTGCCCGCCCGTGTTTTGCCCCCAGCAGTCCTTGTCGGCCAAAACACGGTCGTGCCTAAATATGGACACGGCCGTGTTTTTCTTTAGGTAAGCCCGTGTTTTTACTGCCGAACTTGTTCCCCTATATTCAATGCTTCGTTTCTCCCTCGTCCGGACTCCGAATCAGTCGCCGTTTGATCCCAGACGCTCGTAGTCTCGTCCTCTTTCTTTTCATGACAAGCTTGCATGATTATTTGTCCATAAAGTGAGGTATAAATCCATTCTTCTTCAGGTCATGCCCGAGTTTCTTCTCCCTAATATCCAATTGATCTCTGATTGACTTGAAACTTGCGCCTATGCTTCACTTTATGTGCTAGGACCTGAAATGTGACAAAGGAACACAACCTAGCGTAAAATAGGCCAAAGACGCGATAATTAAAGCTCAAACAGTCAAGAAACAAAGGGGAAAACATGTGCAAATATCGAGTCATCAGCGAGCTCTGAGAAACACATGCAAGGAGAGGAAGAAACACAGACGTGTTTCACCTCCCCTTTGCATGTGCTTTTACTGTCGAACCTATTCTGCTGCCTTTGAAATACCGTATTTTCAAAAAATCAACATGTCTGGGCTCCGACTTGAAAATCCACACTACCACAGGCAATAATATGACACCAGAAGCCACGGGACAGACTCTAGAAAGACTCAAAACAGAAACAAAGACTCAAAAGATCCAAAAATCAAAAGAGGAAAATGATAGAAATGCAAACTGAGATGGGGTTGCCTCCCCATTAGCGCTTCTTTACCGTCTTTTAGTTGGACGCCAATGATGGATGCTCAGGGTGGTGTAAGAACAAGTGCCTCCAAGAGCGGATTCACATCGCTCTTGAGGTAATGCTTTAAATGGTGACCATGCATGTAGAGGCCGCGACCATCAGCACTAGCTAACTGGACCTGACCATCTAGCAGGATGCAAACGAGTAATACCTTGAACGGTTTTTGCCTTGGGGTGCAATTCAAGGTGACTTCTCATAAGGTCACCCATCCTTGTTGTACTCTACACTGATCACGTTTAACTTCGGAGTTCTCACAATAACTCCTACATTTCACCCCAAAACGCGTCTTGTTAGTTAAGGTCAGTTTCTTACTTATGAACCATGGATCTCTCTCGTGCTTTGTCGATGTGGGATTTGTCTAAGGTGTTACATACTGAATGCGGTCGATGGGGTCAGTCCTAATCCTAATACCATGCACATGCAATGCTTTAGGTACATTATGAGGCGTACTTGAACTTATTATTCTTGTTTACTTTCTAAGAATCTTGCATATTTCACCTTACAAATGGGGGCCCGAGCTCAAATTAACTAGCGCAACCGTCCGGCCACCTAAACGTGATAAACATGGACCTCCATCACTCTGGGAGGTGGATAACGTGATAAGCATGGACCTCCATCACTATGGGAGGTAAGGTAACCGCGCGCTAGTTAGGCGACCGTCTGATACCCAATACATGAACTTGAACATGGACTCCTTGTCTGAAGGAGTGGGTAGCATACATGAACTTCCTCACTATGGGAAGTGAGGTGGTTGCGCGAGTAGCTAGTAAGTGAGGTTTGTTCTTTTTCCCGACTTATCAACATGATACCTTAAACGAACTTGCTTGAATAAATATCTCACACGATGGAGAGACGTACTTAATGAAGCTTATACTTGCTTACTTAACTTGAGAAGTTTGAGCTTACTTAAGGTGATCTCCCATGCAATGGGAAGACCAAGAATTATTAACTTGCACTTGATTAGTTTAGAATTGAACTTGTATTTGCTTGACTCATAACGTAGTTTACTTATGCTTCGTGATGCTATGCATACTTAAAGTAAATGTTGAACATTAAGAGCTTAACTTAACAAAGAAGCATATAACGAATAACTGAACATAAAGTAAGCACTTAAATGCATACATAAACTTAAATGCATAATAACAAAAACTACTTTAACCCCCTTGGGAAGTCCTCGTGTTGCACCCCAAGTCGAAAACTGTGAGGGTCGAGGCCCAAAGCGGACAATATCTTCGTCGGGAAAAGGTCCAGGATGTTACAAGTGGTATCAAAGCCTCTCTGTGTCCCTCTTGAACGATGGAGGGGCAAACCTCAACGAGGATGTTGAATCCCACATCAACAAAGCACAGGAGAGATCCATGGTTTATAAGTAAGAAACCGGCCTTAACTGACAAGACGCGTTTTGGGGCGAAATGGAGGAGTTATTGTGAGAACTCAGAAGTTAAACGTGCTCAGTGCAGAGACAACAAGGTGGATGACCTTATAGGAAGTCATCTTAAGTTGCACTTGTATAGCCAAAATTTTCACGTTTTTGCCAATAATAGCCAATTTTGAAGAAATACCACTTATAGTCACTTCCGTCCAATTCTTTAACGGTGTCAACTAATAGGCTGACTGGACAAACGAAAAGACTGAGCTGGCGAGTTTCTCCATTGCCACGTTGGATTGATTTTAAAAAATTAAAATTTAATCAAAACTAAAATGAAAAAGGAACTAAAAATTCTCCACACATCCCTCCCTTTTCAATTTCCTTTTCTCTCTCCTCGCTTCTCTCTCATCCGCCACAAATCCCTAATTTTCCAATCCACCATAGCCGTCGATTCCCCTACCGCGGCTGCGACGTCGCTTCCCTCTTCGCTACTAGTCTCCCTTCGCGGGATCCCGCTCTTCTCCTGCTGCTATGTCGATTGTAGATATCTTTAATTCCTTGAAATTGTGAAATGTGACCTTGGTCACAGAAGAAGATAAAGAAAAGGGGGCAAGGGTGTTGGTCACAAGCGTCCCCAATCCCATGGGAAGTCGACCCGCCACCACCCCCAATTCCATGGGAATTCACTTGCATATCGAGATACAATAAATCAAAACTGGTATTCGTCGGGCGGAGCTTGTGCCTACATCCGGAGCCCCAATCCGGATTCACAAAGAACCGGTTGTTGCTATGGTGGCCGGACGAGGCATGGGTTTTGTATTCGTAACTGGGTGGGGCTCGTTGACGCTTCGGCGATGACAGAAGTAGAAGGAGAGAACGGCGGACACGATTACAGCGGCGACGAGGAAGGAGAGGGAGAGGAGCTTGTGGGAGAATGCAGAAGGTTTTGGGTGAAGTGAGAAAGAGATCTTTTTATTCTTTTGTTTTTGTTTACAATTTTATTTTAATTAAAAATGATGTGGCATCCACCTGTTATCGAAAGCTTAATTGTTGATGATGTGTTTGGTGAGTTGGCAGCCCAGTAAGCATACCGTTAAAATAACTAATGGTGTCACTAACGTTGTTAAAGTTTGTAATGAAAATGACTATATTTGTCACAAAACTTTCAAAAATCTGGCTATAAGTGGTATTTTTCCAAAATTCGTTATTATTGTCACAAACGCGAAAGTTTGGCTATGCAAGTGTATTTTGCCTATAAACAAATCTGAAAAATGTTCGAATAAAATATAGACATTACCCTATAAAAAAAGACGGGTAGAGAGAGAAGAAAAAAAAATGGCAAAACCCAATTTTAATAATAAAATAATTTACTGCAGAAATCCGCCCAACGGTAGGAAGTAGTAGTACTCGCACAAAGAAAAGCAACGCAAGAACACCAACGTCTCTCTCTCTCTCTCTCATTACTGTTCATCTTCTGCGGTTCTGCCTTCTCCATAGCCAGCCAACGGTTACATTCTTCAGTTCTTGCACACCTGTCTAAGTTCCAGAGTCTCCCTGTTAGGCTCTCTCTTCCTTAACACAAAGAAAAAGCCTCCGCCGCCCCCAGCCCCTGTATTTCTTCCTGTTTAGGCTTCTGGGTTTTTCCACTTTTTTCCTCCCTCTTCCTTTTTTTCTGTTTTGGAGATGGAACCCGCGAAGATAGACTGGAAGCAAATCGAGTGGATTTACGAGGAAGACAAGCTGTACGAGACCATCAACGCTCCAAAATGGGTTGATTTCTTGGCTACTCCCCAAGATGAGTCCGATTACGTCGGTGATGTCGCCTGGTTCTGCAGACCCGGTGCGTGAGTGTTTATTCTTCTGGCTTGCAATTCCTGATTCTCACAAACTTTCCATCTTTATTCTTACTGAGGTTTGGTGTTTTTGCATACCTCTCGCCTTGCTCTTCCCTCTTCCTCTGGCATCTAGATTGTAATCATCCCAAGTCAGCTGAAGATTTCTTGAAATTCACTCCTGCCTCGTCAAAGGTTTTTCTCATCTCCTCTAAATCTTTGTCTGATCTAATTGTTTCTTGTTGTTAATTCGCTGTCAAATTTCGGAATTATGATGGCTGGCTGCGCCAATTTCAAAATATTTGCTTCTTTTTCTGAAGTTCGATTGTAAATAAATTGACTGCTTCTGGGGAAATTTTCTGATGCAGCATTCGAGGTCTGGCGTCAAAACCCACAGCCCACTTGGTGACTTGAATCAGAAAAGGTAAGAACGCTGGAACTGGACCTTGATCTCATTTTCCCCTCACTGTTTTTTTGTTATTTGATACTAATTATCCATTTGCTTGTTGGGATGGGATTGATTTGCAGGAATGGTAAACTGAAGAGGAGAGGGCAAAATCAGTCTTCCATTACATCCTACGAGGATGAGATGGGTGTGAGCCAAGATAGTGAAAACCAGAACCCTAATAATAGTAATCTTTCAACTCCTCCGAATTTCCAAATCAAGTCCATGAAAGCACTGTTCAAATCGAGCTCTGAAAGGAGGAAGCCTACGAATGACTATGATGATGCTGCATCAGAAGCCAATTTGCAGCAGCACCCTAAACTGAAACCCACACTCTCAGCAAAGAATCTGTTTGCTGGCAAGGATATACTAAGCCATATTTCTGAATTCTACAATGAGTTGAAGAAGATGACGATGAGAAGCAGGGGAAGAGAGGACAATGATGAGAGCTCGAAAGCTAACGAAAGCCCGGCGGTGCAGGATACAAGTGTGGTTGTGAAGGAGGAGGATCACAGAGAGATTTTTGGGGTTTTAGATTTGAAGGAGAAGGAGAAGACGCCACCACCTGACGTGGGAAAAGACAAGTTGGGAGGAACTGGAAAGGGAAGCGGCAAGAAGTTGAGGAGGAAAATGTAAGTTGCGTTGCTGTGTTCCTGGCTTTGATGTAGATTTAGTATCACTGATATGGATGTTAGAACTGCTCATAATATGTGGAGTCAGTGAGACACCAAAACTTAACCAGCCAAACAATACTTCAAACACTTGTATACCCTGAACTAAATGTACTGGTGATATTTGTATATATGCAGAAGAGTCGGTGATGATGCAGAGAACATCATCCCAGTGTCGCTCAACTTGGAAATTGTGAAGAAACCGTTGCAGCAAAAAGAAGGGGAGCAGCAGCGGCTGCTTCAAATCCGGACGAATCCTCCTTCTCCACAATGCTTCTCTGCTGGCACCAAAACCACACCATCAAGAGCTTCAAAGTCCAGACTCATGGTAAGGCACCAGCAAAAACGTTATGCACTAAGTTCTACTGGCTACACTTGAACTATCCTTAGAAAGCCATTTCTAAATCTTGTTGTTAGCGAGTCAGTTAGCTGGTTAGAAGTGATATGGCTTGCTTGTGACTGCATTTGACGTGTCTCCCCTTGTCCTGAATGAATGAATTTATGGTTTTATTTTCTTGGTTTCTGATGTGGGTTGCGCTTGGATATGGTGTAGGAGAAGTCGGTTCTTCAGGAAGTGAAGCAGCAGCAGAATGATACTGTCGTCAAACAGGCAAACCGAGACAAGGCTGAAAGAAGCTTCGCCATTGTGGATGGTAAAGAATCAAAAACAGCTTTAGATATGTTCTGGTTCCTGAAGCCCTGCACTCTCTCCAGCTGATGCGGCAAAGTCAGTGATTCAATAATCCATTGTTTTGTTCATTAAGGCCATTTACCTTACAGATAGATAATTCCTTTACTTGTCTGGTAACCAAGGCATCTAATTGTTTCATTTGTTGTAATTAATTAAAGAGCACCTTCATTCATTCTAGAGTTGCAAGTACCTAAATGCAGTTTCAGCGACCAATGTAATGGAAGGAGATGTGGAAAATAGCATTCATATATATTGGTGTCAGTCAAGCATGCGACTCGTTGAGGAAGAAAACGCAGCTAAACTTCTTCTGCCTCCATTGATGAAATTGACTTCTAGCTACCAGAACCGTCTATCTGTTGATGGAAAAAACTTGCGGGTTGATGGGAGGTGAATGGGAAGGGGGAATGAATCAATCCAACGCCACAACTATTCTTGTTCGGATGTCATTGGGCTCTAGTTTCACCACAAACAAGTTCTAGTTTCACCCCAAACTTACTACATGTCATATTTGGGCATACAAACTTTTCTATCAATCGGTTAATACAATTACACTTGTCCACTTGAAAGTAGATATAGATATTATAAAAACTATGCTTCGTCGACAAGTTTCACGAGGTTAAGTTAACAATTCTAGTAATATTTGTTTATCATTCGATATTAAATTAGAACTATGTCGGTCAAATATATTATTTTATTTATATTTTCAAGAAAATATTATATTGTACAAGTAAATATCATTGTCCTATATGATCTCCAGTATGGTTTCACAAACAATGAATAAAATGAGTTTCTATTATGTATGTTAATATGTTTAATGTTTGCTAGAAATATTTAGATTTATATAATTTCGAATTTTTGTATGACACGCTTGATAAAATATGAAGTATTGGTCGTATGCTCTCAATGTATTGTTATCAGACCTTGGCTTATTCCGAGGGGTCATTTGAATGCAGAATTTTGATATATGAGGGATAGGAGGGATTTGACCTCAAATTTCTCATTTTGAAAGCTAGACATTTGTTCTGTATAGGATTTGTACCAAATATGTGTAGGAATATGGGGTTTCAACTTTCAATTAAAAAAACCAAATTTCTACTTTGCCCTTTCTATCTCAGTCTTCTTCGTTTAATCATCCAAATTTCAAAAAACAAATCCAAAAAAATTGAAACAAGCAAGAACGGGAGAGAAGTAGCCATTCTATAGTAAACAAACCCAGAACGTATAATAGAATTCGAAAAACAAACTCAAAACAATGAAACAATAGTTCTTGACATGAAAAGGCTATTGACATGGTTGAATGGAATTGCTTGGATGGGATTCTGAGAGCTATGGGTTTCTGTAACCATGGTGTGCTTGTATAGTGGAGTGTATCAGCGCAGTCAGATTTTCGATGTTATTTAATGGTCATCCTTCACCGTTCTTCATCCCTTCTAGAGGATTCGTCAAGGAGATCCCATTTCCTCCTTTCTCTTCATTTTGCTCAGTAACACACTCTCTTTTCTTATTTCCAAGTATGTGACTGAAGGGAAGATGCATGCCATCTCTTCGAATCATGCTTGCCCTAGACTCACTCATGTCCTTTTTGTAGATGATACAATTTTATTTGGGAAGGCTTATGTGGTTGTGGCAGGTTACATCAAATAGACGATTGACAGATATGGTATGACGGGACAAATCATTAAGGGATGGCATCACGGCGAGTGAAGGTTTGAGGTTCTGCGGCGAAAGACAGAGAGCGGTGAGGTGAGTCGTGACTCGTGAGGGACAGAGAGAACGGCAGACGAGAGGTGGAGAGGGATAGGGATTAGGTTGCTTTAGGATTATGTTTGATTGGTTTTTTCTTGGTAAAATTGAGAGGCATGGGTCTCTGGGTGGGCTATGGGAAGACGACAACTACAAAGGGTTTGGGCATGGCCCAAGAGTGTGGATCCAATGACCGGGGGGTCGTGACTAAGTCTCTCCTAGCCCTTAGATCTAGATATATTAATCTAATTGTTAAAAAGTGGGAAGAGATATTTAATTAATAAAAATTATAGTTATGGTATTCTTAAAAAAAATTATTATTTTTTGTTTTATTTCCGTTTGCTGCCCACTATCCAAGCCGCACACGTCTTTTTATATATACTAGGATTTCATCGCCCGCGCTCTGCGCCGAGACTTGTGCTAAATCTATGCGATTGTGTAGTTAAGGTATAGTCCTAATGGTGTTTTTTTTTGTCTATGAACTTTGTCTCTAAAATGACCAATTTTTGGCAATTTCAATTTTTTCAAATGTATGCATACCCTCACCTTGAACCCGATCATGCTTAATTACGGCTTTGGATAATAGATTAGAAAAGTAGAAGTTTGTAAATTTTGGTGGCAGACTACATTTTAGAATCAAAATTGTTAACTCTTAATTCAATTTGTTTTTAAAAAGCAACGCTCAGAATTGGCCTATTTGTTCTTAAGATTCCACCAACATTAGTCCAACTATGTTTTCCAATTATATGGAATTTCCATTAGCATGTCACTTTGTTTAAAACGGCTTTGGTCTCCAACTTTTCATTTTGGTGGATTAATGTGGACATGTTAAACTCTGGATGATGAACATGAGCAGAACATCAAGAACTAACCATTAAATTGCAGCATTCGAAGTTGCAGTAAAGAGGTTTCAAATGGTGAGCATGGTAGATATTCGATTTTGTGATGAAGCCAGACTGTAAGAAGTAATGCAGGCATATCCAACACAAAATCAAATTTATACAACAGATTCATACTGCTATTTAAACTTGAATGAATACATCATTAGGGCATGTATCATATTACAGCTATCATATGGATTCTTTAGCAGTGGTAGCAGTGGGGAACACCTAACATTCACCTCAAAGATAATGTATATCTATAGAGAGGATCAGTTCACCAAATGCAAAATTGTTGAAAATGAAAAAACTCAAAGCTCTCCAAACTACAGCAAAATGTTCACTCAGAGGCACAATCCATCTTCCAACATAAGCTGCTGCATATAAGGCAAGAGAATGAAATGTAGTAAGAAACATAATTAGGCATAGAATCAAATTCAAACATTTGGGGCACTCATACCTAACCTGAGTCCTCTTGTAATGTCTCCATTTGGAGGCACCACATGATATATCAGTCCACGAACAACAGAGGAGAAGAAATTCAGCTGTTATTTAGTTGACCACTCGTAAATATTGAATGTCTATTAACAAAGACCTAAGCGAAAAGCAAAAGAGATGGATCTATTCATAAGGACAATAAACAACAACCAAAGCACTGGACTTCCAAGACTCATAAGTTTGATTGCAGTTCAACAAATATTTACATTAACTTCTACTATTTAGCATAGCAAAGCGCAAATTAAAAGATAAAATAACGACCAACAACACTAAAGCTTAAGAAATGATAAATAACATTAGGTAACCACTTAACTGTATTAAAACCTATGGTCTTGGTAAGATTCCCCACTATCATATACACCGTGGCCCAATCAATCACTACAATACTGGAAGATCTGGGTATAGAATACAATCAAAGTGCACGTCAATAAAATTAATAGGATTCGGAAACACAACATAGGCAGAACCTGAAACTTACTTAGGGAAAAGGCTTCAATGTTTCTACTCCACGTAATCGTGGATATCAATTTTCAACACCATTTTCTAGCATAGAAGTATAGGAACAATCAAGAGCAAAATCAGAAAAACAAAAGAGCAGAAACACATAAATGATCATTGGTATTTTGAAACGCCGAAGCTGCATTCAGCACTGCGAGAAAGCCCATCAGCGAATCAAGGATCACCATCCAGGTAACCAGTGGTCTAGGTGGATTTTGATAGAAACTACAGTTGTCTTTCTCTTGTAAACTCGTTGATGCCATTTTATTCAAAAGCGACAAAACAAATGCTTAACAGAGAAAGAGATGGAGAGAACAAATCAATGGGAGATAGGGAGGATGAATCATCTTGACAACAAAAACCATCAAACCTGGGTATCATATTCCTTTCAGGACCGCACAAAACTGGCAACTGGTTACACAAAGCTACGCTGGTTTCTGCAAAAGAGATGAGGGAAATGCGTTAAAAGTTAAAACCCAAAGATTTGTGTATCCGAGAATTGAGAATATATATATAAAAACAAACCTTCAAGAACAGAATCATGATACGAGAGGAAACCGAGAATCAGAGCACATCTGAGTTGGGAAGGTGATCGATCTCTCATGAATCTCCACTGAAAAATTAATTGTCTGAGCATACAAACTGCCAAGAGCCTTCATAGGGGAGAAACTGTTGATGAACAGGAGAAGAAAAATCGGAGACCAGCGTTAAAAGATTATATGCAACTAAAGATCGCGGATGAGAGAGACGAAAATCAAATTCTCACCTTAAACTATCAGGGTTGACAAACTGGTTCCAGTCGATCGATCTCTTCGCCCCCCGTGCGTCCTCTCTAACGGTGATCTACAATCCAAACCATATCTCTTTAGATTGCTGGTTTCATGCTGGAATTCGATGGCCTCCCTGGCTGTGAACTCGGTGCAAATCAACTCCTCTGAGAGAGATTAAAAAATCACATGTTGAGAAAGAGAGATCGAACTCATCCAAGTAAAGAGAGAAAAAATTCATCTAAACAGAGAAAACATACCTTGCGGATCTGGTTCTCCCCCGGGTCCTCTGTCGGCCTCCTTCTCCCGTTGATCGCTCCAAGTTAGTAATTTCCGGAGAGGAGATGTGAGAAACGAAGCAGAGATAAGTGTGAGAAGAAGAGTGGAGAGAGGAAGATCTCTTTGATCCTCCAAAAATAAAATCAGAGAAAGACAGAAAGTAGATGGGCTCTTAAATCTACAAACAAACCCCCCAAAGGAAAATCTCTTCCCTTTCTTCATCTCTCTGAGGATGCACACACTACCCCCTCACCTTCATAAACCCGAAAAGGCCAGAAAGAAAATTAAAAACAAAATATTGCAACCCTTCTTTCCATCTTCTTCATCCACGATCATCAAGCTTTCACCCACAGAGAGATATTAGCGTTCCTCCAGGAGAATACTTGGCATGGATCGCCTGGTCGCGACCGCAAGACCTCCGTCGAATCTCATCAATCAGAGAGAGGAAATCCGGCGATCCGTGGACACAAATAAATCGATATTTGTTCCTGCAGAGTTCGGTCACTTCAATACTTTTCCCAAAACCCAGACTCAACTATCAACCCATCTATCTATTTCTCCAGCCTCTCTCAGCGTCGAACAACGCGAAGACTTCCCAGCTTCTCCCTGAGACACCAAAATGCAGTCTTTTCATGCACCAGAGAAAAAGCCCAGTCCTGTCAAGGTTTCACTTTGTATCTGAAGAACCCTTTTCCGTCTCTCGAACGACCCACTCTCAACTGTTCAGACATGTCACCTCACCCACACATCCCCGAAACCGCTAGATCTCCCACTACTCAACTATCTCTCCCCAACATAACACGATAAGCAACCCAATAAGCCTCGATCTACGGACTCGGTTGGGCCAAAGCCTCCTATTGATCTCTAATGACCAACGCGGGTCAGAGCCACCAAACGACCCCAACGAAGGCCAACCAGAAGCTAACCACCAGTTTGAAACAGTAAATCTCAGTCACAATGGACAGTAAAAGGTGTCTGTGTGTACAATACCAGCGGCTGCGGTGGGTTTCTTTCTTTCAATATATATATATGCTGGCTATTTCTTTATTAATCACTAATAAAGTGATTTTTAAACCTCCCACTCACTCACGTGTGTTTTCTTTTTGTCTTTTTTTTCTATCAACCTTTTCTATTTTAAAAATAAAAAACACGAAGTAACATAAACAAAAAATATACAATCCATATCAGAAAAATATACAAAATAAAAATACATCATATACAAACATTATAATGAAAATGAAAAAATCAATAATATGTGATTTACAAATCAGAATCTAAAAGTGTACAAATCATATCATGAATATGTACATACAATACAAATTGATGTGAATTCTTTTACAAATCAATAATATAAAGTATACAAACTATATGATAAAGTATACAAAGCAATATTAAAAAGTATTAGAACCACATTATATAAGTATAGAACTCAAGTTAAGATTATATAAAAGGATTACTAAGAACATAATATATCACTATTAAATATTACAAAGTATATAGACCACGTTATAAAAGTATACAAATTAATATTACAAAGTATACAGATCTCATAATAAAAGTATACCAATAATACTAGCATTGTATACCCAGCATACTAACTATACAAATTACAACTATTTACAATACAAATCAATAATACAAAGCATACAAATTAGGAGTATACAAATATTACCAACATGGTTGACAAAAAATGACAAACATGGTTGACAAAAATAACAAAGCTTACAAACATTACAAATTAAGCCAACAAACATTACAAAAAGCTTACAAAAATTACAAAAGAAACCGACAAACAGTACAAATCATACAAATACCACTACTTATAATACAAACTGATAAACTGGTATTACAAACCAATAAATACAAAGTATATAAAATAGACAAACAAACGTTGCATATTACAATATATACAAATTAGTCTTATAAACATTACAAACGGAATAGATAAAAATGACAAATTAGAATAATAAACAATACAAACTGAATTAATAAAAATTACTAAATAGTCTGACAAACATAATAAACAACCATTGTCGCCGGAAAAATCCCCGATCAGCAGAACATCCTCTCTCTCTCTGAAAAATGGCAAATGGACCGTAGAATATATTCCCACGCCGCCACACTCTGGGGGAAATGGCAAATGGAGAATGGAACACCGGCAAAATTATCCAGCTTGAACCCTCGCTGGCGGAAGAGACGGGAGACAAAGATTTGCCGTCCCCTAAACATCTCCCAACGCAAGGAAATCATATCTGTTGCCGACGAAAATTCTCTCACCGCTGGGGAGGGAGAAAATCCCACACACAGGAAAACTTCGCAGCCGCTCGGCGGCAGGTCCCGGGCAACAGGCAGCCAGTGGGAGCGTGAGAGATAGTTCACCCACCCCCCCTCTCTTTTATTTTAATGGTTAAATAAATAATCTGTGTAATTACTATATTGTCCTTCACCCACCCCCCTTAGTCACCTGATCTTAGCCCCATGGCCCAACCAACAGCTTTATTATTTTGTTGGGTCAAGGTAACGGGTGGGATTAATTAGGCTATGTTTCAATTTTAGGTTTTTCGGTTTGTAACTCTGAATTCGAGTTCGGTTGACATACTCTGTATTCCGAATTAAGAGGCTTTTTCATCTGAATTCCGATCCGAATAGTGGCAATTTTGGTTTTAATATGTTTGGAAAGTTAAAACCAAACCGGATGCCCATGGCAGAGGATAGAGTCAGTAACCAATGGTTACTGACCTGTCAGTATTAAATCCGGACCGTAGATCTAGGGATGGCATTATTATATTGCTCGGCTGCACGCGGAGTGAGGAGGGGCATTTTTGTCCGATTTTTGAAATTTGATTTCTTTCCCTTTTTTATTTTTTTCCAACATTTATATGTTTGTCTTTTAATGGAGGAAAGAGAAAAGCAGACTTCTCTCTTCCTCTTTCTCTCTTCCTTTCTCTCTTCCAAACTCCTTTTTCCATATCTAAATCTCTTTTCTTCTCTTGTTCTTCATTTTTTCTCCAACAATCGATGAAGAAATTGCAGCCTCCCACCTCAAATTCGGTGACGCTCCAAATCCTTCTTCTCTCAAGATGCTCCTTCCTTGTGTTTTTTTCCTTTTCTCGGCCTCAAAATCGATGATGCTCCATATTGTCAAAGAGGGGACAGATCTAGGTGAGTTGAGTTTGCATCTTTTGTGTTTTAGTATTTGTTTGTGAATTAATTCCGATCTTCTTCCTCTTTTTCTTTCTTTTTGCATTTGGTGTTCTTGATTGCGGAGGAGTAAATGAGAGGAGACAGAAGACGATTTTTTTTCTTCTCTTCCTCCTTCTGTTTCCCATTCTTTGAGAATATATATATTGATATTACCACACTATACCATATGGTAATGTGTGCTAACTAAATGTATTTTTATAGTCACGAGTTTTATCATGGTGGTAGTGGGTGGTAATCGACACCAGTTCCGAGAAAGCAGAGTTAGAAGACAATGAAGAAAGTGAAGAAAGTCGTAATTGTATATATATATTGAGATTACCACACTATACCATATGGTAATGTGTCCATACCATATGGTAATGTATGGTAACGAAATGTATTTTTATGAATATCATGTTTTTACTATGGTCGTAGAGGGTTGTAATTAGATTTACATGGTTTTACCTTCTCATACCATGTGGTATTATATGGTAATTATAATCAATTTGTGGTCCTTTGATTTACCATGTTCTACTATGGTGGTATTGTATTGCTAGTTAGATTTATAATTTTCTATAGCGTGGTTTACCAAGTTATACCATGTGGTGGTAGTTTGATTTGTAATTTTATTTTAGCATGTTATATCATATGGTATGGTATGGTAATTAGATTTGTAAATCTTTGTAGCATGTTTTACCGCGTTATACCATGTGGTATTGTATGGTAGTTAGATTTTTATTTTTCTTCAACATATTTTACCATGTTTTACCATGTGGTATTGTATGGTAGTTAGAATTATAATTTTCTTCAACATATTTTACCATGTTTTACCATGATAGTAGAAAGTGATAATCATATTTATACTTGTAATTAGTGTCTTTAACAATGTATTATTTAACGAAAAAATCATCATTCAATTTGAGCTGGTTTTAGTTTAGAGATAGTTAGGATGGTTAGATTCATTTTTGTTGTAGATGGGAGAGAGAAGAAATAATATATTTTTTCTTTTAATAATAAAATAAAACAAAGAGTGAGAGAAAGGGGGAACCAGACAACCAGTGTAGGGTGGGGGAGTGGGATCCGCGTCGCGTCAGCGTCAGCGCGTCAGCGTCATCATTAAATAGAGGGTGCAATTTTACCTTAGTGCCCCTCCGTGTTTAATTTAAATAAAAAGAAAAAGCTGACACGTGAGGACAGATGATTGGATTACTGACAGTTACTGATAGCAAGAATACTGACCTGATCTGATCCCGATGCCCATCCCTACTCGACAACCCTGCAATCTCCTCAACCCAGCCATCAGCCAAGCCAGCTCGCCGAAACTCAAGCTTGCATTCTGTTTCGGAACCACCTGACTCGAATCAAAATCTCCTGTTGGAACAATCTGTAGTCCTCCCCGACTGATTTCACCACTTCGTAAACCAAATCGTTCTTCTGCAATTGAAGGGATCTCGGAGCCTCGCATATCAATTGGGGAAATCGCTTCCTCCTTCCCCCCGCTGCATGAGAGGAATCGGTCAAGGGCTTTCGAGACAACGAGGTTATGCTCGATGACGGTGGTGTCCCACCGAACTCATGATGAGAGTTTCCAGGTCAGATCCGTCACAGAATTTTGAGAGGCTGAGGGAGTTCTTGTCGTCGGAAGCAGGGTAGGCGGAGAGGTCTCTTCCTTCCTTCCAGGGTCTCGGTACTGCGAGGAAACTGCCAAGGTGATACAGCAACGGAGGCAAATGTATGCAAATGGGTTAAAAAGTGACACCGACATCTAGGAAATCGCACAAGATTGTTCAATCCCGGCCCGAAATCCTCTTCGTCATCCCTGAAGCTCTCGCCATCGAGCTTGTATAGCTACAACACCGGCACTACCTGCTGCTTCAGCCTTAGATGAGAACGAAATCATCATCTTCGTCGATTCTGAACGGGAGTTGCGTGTGGGTGCTGCTGTGGAGTGCGCTTTCGCGGCGACATCAAAAAGTGGACCCGAGGGAGGAGAGGGAACACCATAAAAGAAACACGCGGCTGATACTCGACGGGATGAATCTGTAGGAAGATTGAGTGGCGCAGGGATCTCGAGGAAGAGATAAGATAGATTAGATCAGAGAGAGCGAGCTCTTAGTTGTTCGCCTGAAGCTTTCGTTGCCAATCGGAAGGGAGCATCAAAAGAGAGCAGTTTGTTTGTTTGTTAGCTGTTGTTTGGGTTGATTATAATTTTTTTTTGTTATGATAATGAGGTGGAAATTGTAATAGATTAGATTTTATTTTTTATTATTTTTAATTGCCATGTCATTTATTTAACGGTCAATTCTCATAGTTGACTGTCACATCAGATAAAGTTAACGTAGACTAACGAAGAGTGACAAAACTTGGAGCGTATAACTAATTTAATTGACTACGGATGAAATTTAATCTTAGTGACAAACATGATTTTTATAGTAATTCTAATGACCAAACTTGCAATTTAATTACCCTAAATTATGAATATAATTTTATAGATCACAAACAACACATTCCTTCTATAAAAATAACTCAATATCTAAATTACGAAGACAATTCAATATCTAAAGTAAAACGAACGAGATACAAGCTGATAAATAATATCTAGAAAAAAAAATAATAATCTCAATAATCATATGAACTCGCTTAAAATTTGTAGAAGTGATGTGATGATCCACACCAATACTCTAGATTATGAAATTGATTCTACGCCCCATGTCATGCCGATTTAGCGAATGGAAAGAAAGTTTTTTGTTTGTTGTTGATAAAAGGCAAAATACACTTGTATAGTCAAAACTTTTGCGTTTATGCCAATAATAGCCAAATTTGGAGAAATACCACTTATAGCCAGATTTTTCTAGTTGTTGTATGACAAATCTATCCATTTTCGTTAGATACTGTAACGGTGTTATTAACACCGTCAAGTTCATTGACAGTTTGCTGACTAAGCTCCTACTCAGCACACACATCAGCGCCAAATAAGCAGAAAGTGACGCATCATAATTTAATAATTACACGTCAGAAATTAATTAACAAAAATAAATAATTAAATTAATTAATTAATTTTTCCCTTCCCAATCTCACTTTCCCTTTCTCTCTCTTCATTGGTGTTGTACTGTTAGAGAGAGAGTTCTTTTCGTTCTTGTTCTTGAGGCAGGGAGCTTGTTCTTGAGGGATTGAAAGAGGAGAGCTTCAAACTGGATGGAGGATATTACTACTACTACTGCTGGACTTCTAATTTCCCTTCTCGCCGTTCCGGCCACGTCGGCTCGACAGGGAATGGGCCGACACCGTTGTTCCGGCGGAATCAAATGTTGTGGATCAGGAGCAGTACCTAGAAGAGAGGAATCGGGTCTTGGGTGTTCCGCGTACAGCGAGGGAGGTGGAGGAGCTCGTCGAGCGGTATAGGCACAATGATTGTTCCCGCCAAATCAATCTGGGTAAACCTCAAAATATTCTCTAGGGTTACTGTTTTCAAGTGATTGAAAAGCTGGAGATGATTTCTTCGATCGGAATGTAGAGAGGAAACTCGAGTGGCGGAGCGGTAAGAACGTGGTTCCGCTATTGCTTGATTTTGAAATTCCGAGATCTAAAGAGAGGGAGAGAGAGCCGACCAGATCCAGAATCGGCGCCCCGGCGGTGAGGAGCTTCATTGTTTTGCAGGTTTTGATTACGAGCGCCACGCTGCAGAAGCAAAATCAACGCCCCAGATCCACTTTCCTTCCCCTGTTCCTCCTTCTCCCCAATTTCAACTCCCCAGGTCGACCCCCGAATCCTCCTCCAAATCCACCCGTCGCTCGCTTCATATGGGTCGCTACCCTAGACAACCTCCGCCGCTACCCTAGACAAACTCCGCCGCCGGGAGAATGGAGTCCCTCCTGTCGCTGGTCAAGGCGGCAAGGAGAGCCAGGCAGCCAGCTGCGAAAGGTGGGGAGCAACAGTGAGGGAGGTTGCCGTTAGGAGCTTGAGAGGAAATTAGTGAGGAGAAAATTGGTTTTCGTTGATGGAGATGGGGCAATTGTTTTTCGTTGATGGGGATGAGAGAATAAGTGAGATTATTGTTTTTTTATATTTTTTATTTAATTTAATTAAAATTAAAAGATAACAAATTTTAGTGATTTTCCACCTGTCATTATTTCTGACTAAAATATGCCAAGTCAACCGTTGTTGTTAGTCCAATCACTCTGTTAGTTAACACCGTTAAAGTATTGGACGGAAATGATTATAAGTGGTATTTCTCCAAATTTGACTATTATTGACACAAACGCGAAAGTTTTGGCTATACAATAAAAGTGTATTTTGTCTCGATAAAATATGGAAAGGGAGTGCCATTCCATTCCATGTCGACTAAACGGCATTAATAGCTGAAGACTGAAGTTGATTTCTTCTTCAGCGCAAAAACGTGGGGCTTTTGCTGCTGCTGGTATGGTGATGACCGATGACAGTCTATCCCTTGGCATTCGCAATACTCTATCCCTTTCCCTCCTCTTTTCTGGATCATTTCCTTTACAGCTTGTCTAATAAAAACATATAAACAAACACATCTAATTGGACGAAATCATCAGTGAACGCTTTGTTCCAATTAAAGAATTCCAGAAGTGGGGATGAGAGTCTATCCATTTGTAGTTCGATCAGTTCCATCGTCCACCGTTCCACGGACAGAGATAGACGACAGCCAAAGAGCCGCCTGATGCCAAAAGTTGATGCCTGCATCTCACATTTAACGAACACAAAGCGCCAAGGACTAGAATGGAAGAGGTTGGCCTTCAAAATGAAACATCTGTCCTTGCTGTGCTGTGCTGTTCTTTTTTTTTTTTTTTCCGTGTGTTCATCAAATGATAGAATGAAAGCAAGAAAGGTCCAATGCGACGATCTCTGAAGGGAATGAAGGAGCATACAATTCCATTCATCTATCTCCAAAACGGCCTGGGATTTTATACAAAAGCTCATCATCACACACAACACTACTTGATCTCTGCAATATACAGTCCCGTAGCGCTAGCGCACAACCACTATCAATAGCAAAATGAAAGAGATCCACTTGATGCGATTGCACCAATTATTGCAGTAAACCGGCAACTCCTCAAACAAACAAAAGGGAAAACCGGAACCCAGAACCCAAAAACAGGGGAGGAGAATGTACAAACCAACTGTTGGTTATTTATCCTAAGCGCAAAAGAAGAAGAGAAAATAGGGAGGGAAGAAAGATCATCTAGTAGTAGTTGAACGCAACCTGAAATTGCAGAGGAAGATGTTCCAGAGTCTTGACCAGACGTTCCTGGCTCGTGGATAGTACCTGACCGTGTAGACCCTAGACTCTCTCACCAGATCCTCCATCGTCTCCACAAACAGATTCAAGCTCCGCACTGGCGGTATATACAGAGTCAAAGGAATAGCCGAGAAAGCTACCGTGAAGAACAACTGCAGCGCCATCTCTTCTCGTTCCCTTCTGTTGTCCGTGCAGAGAAAAATATCCAAGCCTGATTCCCAGCCAACTAAAAGGAACAAAAAACCCTTTCCAGGTGTCTATCTGGGTTTCCTTCCTGCTTGGTCGAGAGTGTATGGAGGGGAAAAGGTAAAGCAAACACGACACAATTAACAGAGTTAGGGAATTGGGTTTTTCTTTCTGGGTCTCTTGGAGAAAAAGGTAACCTAAAAATGGAGAGTAGAGAGGTTAATTATTTGGTACAGGGAAAGAAAGAAAGAAGTGTGTGAAGTTCTGGAAATATCAGGAAGCAAATCTAATCCTCTTGTTTTAATTTGTTTTGGTTTGACAGCCAGGAGAGAAAGGGACAACAAAACTTAGAAGTGGAAAATTTGGTGATGGAAAGGAGAGGAGCGAGGGGGGACGCGTATACCTGGCTGGATTCAATGAATGGACTTGAATTCGACAAGTAAAATGGAACAGCGGCGAGTCGGGGGTGGGTACGGACTCCTCCAGATTGGCTGCCGGCTCCCTGTCCCCCTGATTTCCTCAAAAAATCCGCATAAACCATGATCTCTACTTACTCCTGTATTCATTTTCGTTCTGTTTTTTCAACATATGATTGACCATTATTATTATTTGTTTTTTCAACTTATATCCAATATTCCATCTAATGTCTTGATTTTGTAGACAAACATACCTACTTTCATGTGGTAGAGGCCCTGAACTCGAATCTCATCCATGCTTCTCGAATTGAGCTCAAAAATAGGCTTCACGAACACTTTACCAGACTTGGTCATTTTTAGGCAGTTTCCCAGTTTTGGCATATAGTCGTTTGATCATTTTCAAAAATGGTCTTCTGGACTTCCTATCGAGCTCCCAATCACTTCAATGTGTAGAGGGACACTCTAGCATCAAAACAAGCCATTAATATCCAATTTCCATCGAGCCAATTGTAAGATATAAATCTCCAAAGTAGGCACCATGAAACTGTTTTTACACTGAAACAACATATTAAGTCGACTGAAAAGTGCAAGTTACGGTGACATGCATGTCACCATAGGCGCACCCTTATTATTATGGAGTACCCGTAAAGGAGGAAGGTTTAAGGGAACCATCTTCCAGCTCCAGAAATACCAAAAGAAAAAAATTATAAAAATATCACTCATTTTTTAAAATTCCAAAAATATCACTCTTTCTCACAAACCGTAGGGTGGGAGCGCAGTTTTTGCTGAAAATCGCATATGGTCGGGGTGTTTTAATTGACCGCATGGGGTCGGGGCGGTTTATTTGACCGCATGGGCTTCGCTATGATTGGATACCCGAACACAAAATACGTTCGTTTGAAGTTTCGACCTAGGTTAGGATTGATCGGGGGGGAAAAATAATACAAACCGCTAGGTAGGGGGCGGTTTTCAGCAAAATCACGCTCTCAACCTGCGATTTTCGTGTAAACCACGGGGTGGTGGTTTATGAGAAAGAGTGGTATTTTTGTAATTTTTCGAAATTGGTGGTATTTTAGAATTTTTTTCTTTTTAGTGGTATTTCAGGAAAAATTCCTCTACATCACTCTAAGAAGATTGTATGTAGGAATTGTACCATTTCGAGCATGAATATCTCGCCGCCACCGCGATCGTGCTAACTCATTAGAAGCGGAGCATTCAGGACATAGTAGAACATTGAGTTGTATTTCATCAGAAAATTAGATTATGTAAAAAAAATATAATAACCATAATTTTCTTTACAATGTCAATTGTACACGATGATCTTTTAATTTAGCGCATTTGTAAGTAATGGAGTCTTTCTGCATACCAATAACATACTCTCTTTTAAATAAAATAGTTAAGCAATCAACGAGAAATTCATCGCTCATTTTGTTGTGCAATCTATTTTCAGCCGACTAATCAATTTGTATTGTTTGTTCACCACTATTCCCACCAGCTTCTCTAGTAATTTTGGAAAGGAACAAATCTCATATTTCTTTTAGTCTTTGACGTTTTACACTTTTATGCATTTAGGTTTCATTGTAATTTTTTTCAAAGAAAATTATTGGGGCTAGAATTTCTAGGTCAAATTTAGAGCAATGATTTGAATATGTTCATCTTAATCATTTTGGTAGTTACACACAATCTTATTATAAAATAACACATGGCCAAATGGTTAAAATATAAAAATTTATGAGTGTTATACTATTTTCGGATTCAGAAGAGGGTTGGATAGTGGCCCAGGGTGACCACCTCTAGATCCGCCACTGCTCATTAGCTATGGATTCCGACAACGATAGTGATGATCAAGTGTAAGATTCAAAGGTGATGATGGAGGAAGACAATGAGGAGCCACATTCTCCTTATTGTGGATTCATTGAAGACCAAGAGCTTCCTCCTTTCCACTAGTTCTCAGATGTTTATCGTTTGTTGCGCTTCCCAAATACACATAGAAAGGTCAAAATTATCAATTGGTGAGCAATTGAAGTGGCACATCAAGTCTAGATTGAATGGGTTGTCTTCTTTTGATGACGGGTGGGGGACACGATCATACGAGAGGCTATGAGAGGCGAGTCTATTAAGTCTCTTATGCGTTCTATGATAGGGATTTAATGTGTGATAACACTCAAATTGTAGTATTTATCATTCTTATATTTGATACATTTTACTTTCTATGAATGCATCTTAGTATATTTTATAATATTTTATGTATGAATCATGACTATGTGATCCATGTGCTTTTAATAGCCACGTGATGTGCTTTTGTACCATTTTATGCCTTCTTGGTATTCTTTTGTGCTTTTCAAAGCCAAACAGATTCTAGCATGACTTGGATTAGCAATTGGGTCAAATTGGAGGATTAAGAGAAAAAAATAACTAGAATATCAAGGTGATTTGTCCATTAAGAGAGGCTAAATCGAGGGGAAGCCTTCATGAAGTCATCATACACACCCAAGAGAAGTCCGCTAGAGAAATTTGAGCCCAAACTCACTAAGAAACACAAGGCATCCTTGTGATGTTGCCGGCCATCGCTAGGCCAAACAACTCAAGGAAGAAGAAAAAAACACGGTGGACCCAACCGTCACGGTGCAAGCCCAAAAAACCTTTGAGAATATGCCATGTTGCGTCCTCAAGTCAAGCAATCTGAGTTCCAGTGATATTAGGAAGCTTTTTTTTCATTTTAGGAGGAAAAAGATCGATAAACTCTTCTTTCTTCCACTATAAATGAAGGGTCAGGTTAATGGATTTAGTAGGCTGCAAACATTCACTAAAATCACTCTGAAGAACTCGATCAAGGAGCCACTCGGCTCTACAAGACCGAATTAGCATTCATAGGAGGGTGTAGCTAAGAAGATGTCTTCATCATCGATGGTGGTGCCACCCTTCTCTTCTATGTATTCGTTGTTAAGGATGTGATATGTTCAAATTCATTGTTAAGCATGTGAATTATGGGTATGCTTATAACATCATCTTTCTATGTTATAATGAGATGCTTTAGTCATTATTTATCCATGTATTTTGATGTTTATACCATTATTTTGATGTTTAGTCATTATGTTTATACCATTAGATGCCTTAGTCATGTGATGCTTATATCATTCGAATAACTTATTTTTATGATGCTTTAGTCATGCAATGTCTTCATCATATATTATATACTACTATATTATTTTTTCATAGTATAATATCATCGTATGTTGCACGGGAAATCCAACTTATGTGATATGTCGGAATTTTACATAATCCAACTTATGTAATATCATCGTATCTAGCAACCGTGAACCAGTCGAGGTCAGTGAGGTGCGCAAAACTCTTTGTAACTGTTTGAGACTTGATACCCTTTGCCCGATTCCCCTGAATCCTCCTTCGTCAGGCGCCTATCTGCACACACTAACAAAGAGGGGGCGCCTTGGCCCGTTAATCCTCCGACGCCCAAGTTAGTTTCCAGGAAGGGAGTGGAGTCTCAAAGCTAGAATCAGTGTGTCCGGATCCAACCTGCGTAAATGCTACCAACTGCCTCTATTTATACTTACCTGAGTTCGAGGTTGATCCTCTCTGCCTCCCTGCCCTCATTCAATGCTTTTGTCTCTTTCTGGCCAGACATCCTAACCACCTTGTCAGACTTCTGGCACGTGACAGGCACCCGCAGGCGCTGGACCACATGACAGCCTGGCCTCCCTTGGCCTCTTGTGCCTTGTCTTCATGTGACATCCCCTTTACTTGGGCCTTGCCCCTCACTTGGGCTGCTTGGGAGCCCAAGTTTGCCTAGGCCTTGCCCCCCACTTGGGCTTTGCTCATTATACCCCCAACAATTGCCCCCCCAGCTAGGTGCTCATTGCTCTGCTGCTGAGCGCCTAGCTGACTCGGTGGTTGCTTTGCCCCTACTTAGGCGTCCGATTTCCTGGGCGCCTCGACCTTCCTGTAGTCCTTTTCGGGCGCCGGGTTTAAGGCGCCTCAACCCCTTATGCCCCCCTCAAGGGGGGGCGTTTGATATTGACCCCACGTTTTCCTTGTTTGAATTTTGGCCCTTTTTTTTTTTTGTCCAAAATTCCAATCAGAAAAGGAAAAGGTGGGGGGAAACTCAAAAGCCCGCCCTTGACGATGACACGTGGCACGCTACACGCATCTACCCTCCTTCTCTTCCTTTCCTTTAAATACCCCCCTTCCCCATCAGTCCTTGTCACTTTCCACATTCTCGCCTCTCTCTAAGATTGTTGCTCTGACTTCTCTCTAGATTCTCTCTGACATCTCTCTAGATTCTTCTGCTTTCGTCAGCTTTTCCGTCCATACATCCAAGCATGACTTCGCAAGGAGACAAAGTTGTCGGCCAGGGCGCCTCCCCTGTTGGTGAAGAGACTAGGCCAGGCGCCTCTAACACTGGCGGCGAGGCAAGGCGCCCCAGTCGAAGTGGTAAGGAATTTTCTTGCTCTACTAGTTGCGTTCCTTACTTTTGTTCTAGTTCTCTAGGGTAGGGCGTCACTTACTCTGCGGCCATATTGCGCCTGGGTCGTTTATTGGTTTAGAGAGGGCGCCTGGGTCAACGTCCGCGGGTCCGTCAAGCGCCTCCACCCCGGGCTTCATGCCCGCCGATGGATCTTACAAGATATCAGTGTGGGAGAACTCGTTTCCGCCTGATCACCTCCCGACGGAGACCGAGTCGTTGCCTTTCGACGTTGCGGGTCCACAGCACACCTCTACCGTCACCTTGGCTCGTGTTCATGAGCTAGTGACCAGCCTCCAACTGCCCCGTGATTGGTGGTATGCGCCTCCCTCCCCTATCGCACGAGTGGGCGTCTGTGGGCCTAAGTGGATAGGGGTGTATCAAGAGTACTTCCGCTTTGGGCTGCGGTTCCCCCTTGACCACATCATGGAGGGGATTATGACGACCTGTGGCTGCCCATTGGGGCGCCTGTCTCCTTCGGTGATCATGGTGGTCATCTTCTTCAAGCTGCGCTGCCGCGAGCATAACGTGGAGCCTACTTTCAATCTTTTCCGATATTTTTTCAAGATGGCGGCTCATGATAACTGCTTGTCCCTTCAGAAGAGGAAAGGGCGCCCTTATCATTTTGTAGAGAAGTGCCCGAAGTTGGGGCACAGCTGGTTCAACGGATTTTTCTTCATGAAGGCATATCGGGACTCGTTTTTTGAGAGTGGGGGCGCCTTCATGAGAGAGTGGGCGCTGGGGAGTGTGGACGAGTTCAACGAAGACGTGAGGTTGTCTCCAACAGAAAAGGCAGGCGCCCCGCTGATTTGCGAGACGCGCGTAAATTTGCGCAAGACCGTGAATCGTCCTCCTATTTTGGAGGCGTATTATGATGATGGTCCGTAGGCGCCCATATGTTGTGCTAACGTTTTTCTTGCCTTGTCCTGTTGTCGATGAATGTTTGCTGTGGTGCTAACTCATTTAACGATGTGCAGGATCAGACTTCACCAGCATCGCGGAGCTCATGAAGAGCCGCCTTGCTGCCATGGCTGGGGGAGCGCCCCCACCACCAAGGCCCAAGGCGCCTGTTCCGGCTGCGCCGGAACCGCAGGCGCCTTCTGCTGCCCCCAAGAAAAAGAAGAAGAGGGCAGTGAAGGGGGGTACCACGAAGACTGCCAGCGTGGCCTCTTCAGCACCGGAGGAGGAGGAGGAGGCGCCGCACGTAGAGGCGCCCACTACAGAGCCTGCGGAGCAGGAGGGGAATTCCGGGGAAGAGGAGCCCGAGCCCCTAGTTAGGCGGGGGAAGCGGGCTGGGTCCCCCTTGGGCAATGTCAGCAAGAAGGCTGACAAGGGGAAGGAGAAGATGAGCGCTGGCGCCCGAAGTGGGGGAGGGGGCGCCTTCGAGTATCATCTTACCGAAGAGGGGCAGTGGGTGGGCCCCGACGGGCGCCCCCCCATTTTCCAGCCCACACGCGCCGATGTTGGGCGCATTGAGCTGCCATGCTCCCCGCTGGTAGCTGTTGACCGAGGCTGTGCCATGGGCATGGCAATTACGGCAGCCAAAATGTGGCAAGTGCCGTCGGAGGTGAACGGGGATCACCTATTTGCTGAACTGGCGAAAGTGGGCGCCAAGGTACGTTCACCGTTGTTTGTGTTTTTGATTGTTGGGTTTTGTTAAATTTTGCACAAGTACTAACTCTTTGTGTTTCGTGTGTGTAGATTCTTCTTTTTGCTGAAAGAGGCGCCCGGCGCCTAAATGAAACAAAAAGAGAGGCGCTCGAAGCCTCTTCTTCGGCCTCCCAGTTGCAGCGCGACCTTGATAACGCGACGGAGCGTCGTGAACAACTTGTGAAGGAGTGCGACGAGGCGCAAATGAATGCGGCCTTGCAAGTGTCGCAACTTCAGGGCGCCCTCGACGAGGAGCGCAATAAGTCAGCCACCCTTGCAGCTGAGAAGGAGGCGCTGGCGCAGGGGGCGGGCGCCCAGGCCAGCGAAATTGCCACCCTCAAAGAGGAGAAGAAGAAATGGCAGGACGCCTACAAGGAGTGCAAGAAGGAGCTGAAGGAGGCGCGGAAGGAGATTACCAATTTGCGCCACTCTCTGGACACATTCGAGGAGTCCGAGACTGGGAGGAACATGAGTGCAAGTGCTATCTTGTCTGACCTGCAGATCTTCCACGGCAAACTGGTGAAGGATCACCCTGATCTTACTTGGGATTTTACTGAAATCGCCGAGTATGTGATTGGGGAGTTGGAGACTCCACCGGACACGGGGAATGCGCCCCAATCAGCCAATGTGGAGGAGCCTAAAGGTGACTCTGTTCCTGTCTCTCCTTCCCCGAAGGCGCCTAGCGCAGGTGATGCCAACTCAGGCGCTGAGTGAGTGCAGCTGGGCGTTTTGTTTTCCTCTGTAATATATTTTTTTTTTTTGAATAATAAAAATGTTCTTCTTGGATGTTGCGACCATACTTGTGTTTATTTTAGCGTTGAGTTTGGGCGCGAATAGTGCGGGCGCTTTTAAACTTCGGGGGCCAATTTCCTTATCACTGATTGCTATGTCCCGAGGGCGCAAATGTGGGCGCATTGATTGTTCTGATGTTGGGCGCAGAATAGAGGGCGCTTTGGTTTTGACGGGCGCAAACTTGGGCGCTTTACTTACTCACATACCAACTGACAATCCTACGATAGGGCGCAATTTATAGGGCGCTTTGTACTTCACCAAATTTCCGGGCGCGAAATTAGGGCGCTTTTACTGATTAAGAAATAGGAATTGAAAACATAAGTCTTCAAACGAGCGCTGCAACAAGGGGCGCTTTTGGACACAACACGGCGCTACTTTTACGAGCGCTTTTGAACACAACACGGCGCCTTACACAACTGTCTCTAACACTAACAATGCTCTTGCCCACGGCCATCCTTTTCCTTCTTGGCCCTTATCGAACGGAGGCGCCCTCATGGTAAACCCGCAGGTTCTGCGCATTCCAAGTTCGTGTCACGCTTTTGCCGCTGGTATGCTCTAGCTTGAACGTACTTGGTCCCACCACCTCTCGAACTCGGTATGGCCCTTTCCATTTTGGTGCTAACTTCCCCTCACGGGCGTCTGGGCGGAAGTCACGCTTGAGAACTAGGGCGCCCTCGGTGATTCCATGCGCCCGCATTTTCTTGTTGTAGTACCGAGCCACTTGGCGCTTCATTTTCTCCAGCCGGATGGCCGCTACTTCCCTCACCTCATCTGTCATGTCTAGCTCATCAATTCTTGCTTTGCCATTGCTGCTTGGGTCATACTGGCCAACGCGGTAGCTTGGGGTGTTGACTTCCACCGGGATTACCGCCTCACTTCCGTAAGTTAGGGCGAAGGGTGTTTCTCCCGTGGCAGTTTTGTAGGTTGTGCGATGCGCCCACAGTACACTTGGTAGTTCCTCCACCCACCTGCCCTTGGCGCCTGCTAATCGGGTGTGCAACCCGTGGAGAATACTCTTGTTGGCTGCTTCCGCTTGGCCATTTGCCTGCGGGTATGCCACTGAGGAGAACCGCAGGACGACCCCGTTGTCATCGCAAAACTCAACAAATTTCTTGCAATCGAATTGCTTCCCATGGTCTGCGACAATGGACTCGGGTAGGCCGAACCGGGTGAATATGTTTTTCTTGGTGAACTTTCGCACTTGCGCTTCTGTAACAGTGGCCAAGGGCTCAGCTTCTATCCATTTGGAAAAGTAGTCGACTGCCACGATCAAGTATTTCATTTGCCCGGGCGCCTTGGGAAAAGGGCCTAACAGGTCCATGCCCCATTGGGCGAAAGGCCAGGCCCCTACATTGCCTTGCATGGGCGCCGCCGGGACATGAATGTCGTTTGCATGAATTTGGCACTGGTGACAGGCGCCCACGTGTGCCCTTGCGTCCCGCCTCATCGTTGGCCAGTAATAACCTTGTCGCAGCAGCGTTTTTTCCAAATTGCGCGCCCCCGCGTGCATTCCGCACGTACCGCTGTGCACCTCTTCGATTGCCCCTCTGCTTTCCTCCTCGTTTAGACACCTCAAATATGCTCCCGAGTGGGACCTCTTATACAACGTTCCTTCAATCATGGAGCAGCGGGCCGCCTTTCGACGGAGGCGCCAGGCCTCCTTTGGGTCCTCCGGCACCGTTCCTTGGGTCAAGAATAATATGATCGGTGCCATCCACCCTGAGCCGGCACCTTCGTCCCCCAAGATTGCGACCACATATTGGCGGGGCACTTCCGCAGTGACAATGACCTTCCGATCCTCCGCAAACTCTACCGCGGTGGCCAATTTGGATAGGGCGTCTGCATGCGCGTTTTCCTCACGCGGGATGTGTATGAAGGAGATTTCCCCAAACCAGGCTCCCAGCTCTCTGACCCTTTGCACGTATACTTCTAGCGCTTCCTCCTTTACTTCGAATGCTCCGTTAAGTTGGTTGACGACGAGGGCCGAGTCGGACTTGACCTGGATTTTGTGGGCGCCCAGCTCTTTAGCCATGGTCAGGCCAGCGATCACCGCCTCATACTCTGCAGCGTTGTTTGTTTTCAAGGTGGCGAATCGCAGCGCTACCTCGTGCATCGCACCTCCCGGGCTTATCATCACAATTCCTGCTCCGGCGCCCGTTCTGCTGGCCGCACCATCGACTTGGACTTGCCAGCAATCATCTGTCCCCTTCTCGGTCTCAGCTATTCCTTCCGCTACAAAGTCGGCCAGGACTTGGGCCTTGATGGCTGGTCGAGGCGCATATCTGACATCGAACTCGCTTAGCTGGACTGCCCACTTGACGAGGCGCCCGGCCACATCCATTGACCCCAACGTGGATTTCAGAGGGAGGTTGGTAAGGACTGTGACGGTGTGAGCTTGGAAGTAAGGTCTAAGCTTGGTTGCAGCCATCACAACCGCCAGCGCGGCCTTCTCAATGGGCGCGTATCGCCTTTCGTGGGGAACCATAGTGCGACTGACGAGCACTGCACTTACCGATACCTCCGACACAGCAATGTACAGGTATAGTGGCTCTCCCGCCCTAGACGCCGTCATCACGGTTGGGGCGCTTAATAGTTGCTTCAACTCCTCGAATGCTCCATCACACTCGGTGGTCCATTGGAAACGGGCTGCCTTTTTAAGCGTTCGAAAGAAAGGGGTGGCCCTGTCCGCGGACCGGGGGATGAAGCGCCCCAATGCTGCCAGCCTGCCCGCCAGGCCTTGCACTTCCTTGGGCGTCTTTGGGGGGGTCAGCTTAAGGATCGCATCCACTTGCTTCGGGTTGGCCTCTATACCTCTTTTGGTGATCATAAATCCCAGAAATTTTCCCGCTTCGGCGCCGAATACGCACTTGAGGGGGTTTAGCCGGAGCCTATGCGCCCTCATGGCCTGGAATGTCTCTCGCAAGTCTCCAATGTGGTCTTCCCGTTTCCGACTCTTGACTATGAGGTCGTCCACGTAAGCTTCCACATTCCGGCCAATTTGCTGCTGGAAGACGTTGTTGACCATCCTTTGGTATGTGGCGCCCGCATTCTTGAGCCCAAAGGCCATGACCCGATAGCAGAAATTTCCGAAAGGCGTCATGAAAGCCGTCTTGGGCCGATCTTCCTCTGCCATGGGGATTTGATGGTATCCTGAAAACATGTCCACGAAGCTCAGCATCTCGTGGTATGCCGTGGAGTCCACCAGCAAATCTATCCGTGGCATTGGGTAGGCGTCCGTTGGGCACGCCTTGTTGAGGCTTGTGTAATCCACGCACATCCTCCAGTCGCCCGACGGCTTGGGCACAAACACCACATTCGACAGCCAGGTAACATAAGAAGTTTCTTCCACCAAATTGGCGCCCATAAGCTTGTCCACCTCAACCCTTAGGGCTGCCTCTTTTTCCGGCGATAAGTTCCTGCGCTTCTGTTGCACAGGACGTCTCCCTTCCTCAACCGCTAATCTGTGCACTGCTGTTTCGGGTTTGACGCCCGGCATTTCCATGGCACTCCAAGCGAAAAGCTCTGCGAACTCTTTTAGAAGCGCAATGAGCCGCTCCTTCATCTCGGCAGGCGCCTCTGCCGAGATCCTAACGCACCTTTCTGGGCGCCCTTCCTCCAACGCTATCAAAAGGTCCTCATCGACTGCCTCGGCTCGGGGCGCCTCGTCTTCTCCTACCTCAATTACATTGATTCTCGCATCGACGTGCCTTCGCTTGCGCCCTGTCTCCTTCGCGTAACGCGGGGCGCCTCGTCCTCGGGCCACGCCCACCCCTTGCGGGGCAATGAATTTCAAGGTCTGATGACAAGTGGAGGCCACCCCATTAAACAAAGCCAGGAGCGGCCTCCCAAGGATCGCATTGTATGGGGAAGGGCAGTCCACTATCCCAAAGTCTATGGCGCGCGTCACCCTTTGCTCTCCATCTCCCAACGTGACGGGCAGGCATACCCGCCCAATCACTCTTGCAGGCGCCCCCGAAAAGCCTACTAGTACCGACTCCGATGGTCTGATCATCTCTGGAGATAGTTGCATGCGAATCACCGTATCCTTGAACAGCACATCCATGGAGCTTCCTGTATCTACCAACATTCTCCTTACCCTGCATCCGGCTACTACCCCTTGTATCTCCAAGGCGTCCATGGACGGGAGCATACACGCCTCCTCCGGCGCCTTGTTGAAGCTAATGTCGATCGACTCCTGCACATCTGCCGACGCCGCCCTCAACCGACGCTTTGCTTCTATTTTCTCCCTCAGATCCATTGTCCCTGAAATGGCTTCAATCGTCAGGCGCACGCGGTCAGGCGCCTTTTCTTGGTCCAAGTCATAGGGTGGTGGTGGCAGCTCCTCCCCTGTTCTCACTACTCCAGCCACACACGCCCTATGCACTCTTTCCTCGGGCTTTCTGATGAAGTCATTGAGCATTCCCCTGTCCGCAAGACCCTGTAGCTCTGTCTTAAGTTGGTAGCAATCAGCTGTGTAGTGCCCAATCTCACGGTGGAAGTCGCAGTACCGGTCCAAGTTCCGCTCGTTGGGTTGCCCCCGCATCGGCCCTGGCCACCTGATGTGGTATCCCTTGTCCTTGACGTGCTGGAGCACATTCTTCAGGGTGTCGTTATACTCGGCGAAGGGCCCAGCCCCTCTAGGCGCCTGGCGCCCCATATCGTTCCTCCTTGGCGGTGGCTGGCTCGTGGGCGCATAGCCCGAACCGCTCGTTGGGTACTGCCTCCTTGGTACCTCGACCTCCTCTACTCGTGCCTTCCTTCGATCTGCCCTCCTGGCCGCTATTGTCTCCTCCAGCACAATTACCTTTTGCACTCTATAATCCAGGTCTTCTGTGGACACCACATCTCTCTTCGCAAGCGCCCTGCACAACTCCTCACTGGAGGTGCACTCATTCAGACACACCCCCAGCACCGACGGCTGGGCATCCTTCACTGCTAGAGCCACAGATAGCCACCTCTCGTAAAATTCCCGTAACGCCTCTCCCTCTTTCTGCTTGACTTTAAACAAGGCGCCTATGGTCAAGGAGCGCCTTTTTCTGCTGGCAAACTTCGCCAAGAACATTGCTGCGAACTGTTCGAAGCAGTCGATGCGCCCTTCACCGATCTGATGATACCAATCGAGAACCACACCCGAAAAGGTGGACGGAAACACCTTGCACAGGGTGGCATCTGTGCTGTTATAGAGTTGCATTTTGGTGAAATATCCGTTGAGGTGGTCCTCGGGGTCTCCAGTCCCGTCATAAGCTGGGAGTGGGGGGATGTTGGTTCCGGCTGGCTCCGTTAATATGCAACGCGCCAGAGGCTGTCTCACAGGACAGTGGCGTGAAAGGCGCCCCAATATTCCTCCATTCCATCCACTCTCATCCGGCGCCCCGTGATCGCGTGGGCGCCACAGGCCGGGACGCCTCGGGCACCCCGATTCAATCTCTGTCTCTTCCGCCCTTTCTCTTTTCTTCGTCGGGCTGGGTGTCATCCCTTCACCCCTTCTCAAGGCGTCCACTTCACGCCGCAGCGCCTCGATCGCCTCATCTTGGTTCTCAATGATCCGGAACAATTCTTTTTTCGTGACTGAGGCGCCTTCGGATCCTCGCAACGTGCCCTCACTTCCTTCACCTTCTTCCTCTTCGGGCGTCCGCCCTCTCATTCGCTCCGACTGTTCTTCCGTAATTTCTTCCCTTTCTTCGATCATGGGCGCCTCTTCACTCATGGCTCCTGGCTATACTCCCCTTCCTGGCGCGCCAATTGTTTGAGACTTGATACCCTTTGCCCGATTCCCCTGAATCCTCCTTCGTCAGGCGCCTATCTGCACACACTAACAAAGAGGGGGCGCCTTGGCCCGTTAATCCTCCGACGCCCAAGTTAGTTTCCAGGAAGGGAGTGGAGTCTCAAAGCTAGAATCAGTGTGTCCGGATCCAACCTGCTTAAATGCTACCAACTGCCTCTATTTATACTTACCTGAGTTCGAGGTTGATCCTCTCTGCCTCCCTGCCCTCATTCAATGCTTTTGTCTCTTTCTGGCCAGACATCCTAACCACCTTGTCAGACTTCTGGCACGTGACAGGCGCCCGCAGGCACTGGACCACATGACAGCCTGGCCTCCCTTGGCCTCTTGTGCCTTGTCTTCATGTGACATCCCCTTTACTTGGGCCTTGCCCCTCACTTGGGCTGCTTGGGAGCCCAAGTTTGCCTAGGCCTTGCCCCCCCACTTGGGCTTTGCTCATTATACCCCCAACAGTAACCACGGCTCTTCACGGTCTGGGCGGGCGTGAACTCCTGGCTTTTAGCGTGATCAGCGGCTATCCTCCCTTTTTGGCCCGTTTTCGCTCCTTTTCATCCAACTTTCATTCCCGGGGTAGATTTTTACCTGCTAGGATCTTAAACATAACAAAACAAAGCACAACCTAGCATAAAACCGAACTCCATTGGGTGAAATTGCCTCAAACGTCTAAGGAAAAGGGGGTAAAATGTGTGCATTTTGACCCGAATCACTCTCCCACACTTAGACGTTTACTTGTCCCCAAGCAAACAAATTCCAAACAAGGTAATAGCTCAACATATCAAGATAAGTTGGGGACATATCAAAGGGCTCAAAGTGGGTGAATCTCAATGGCTATTTTACCTCAACACATAAATTGATACGAGCAACAGCGTCATCCACCACAAACGACATTCGAATGCATTAAGATCGTGCAAACGAAAATTTTCACCCTGTTCACAAATCAATACAAGTCTCGACTGGACTACTCATCAACCACAACTAACCATGCATATAACTCAAGTCCAAGGAACAAACGAATGGTCAACATATGTCCTCACCGGGATAAGATATGAACATGAAAAATGCGAATGAATCACTCACTCTTGACCAGTGGGTACTAGAAGAAGAGAAAATACTGATACAAAAGAAAGGAACGAATTCTGATTTTCTTTCCAATCATCGCTGCTCGCATTCCCTCTTATTCCGCGCTGCTGTTCTTCAAGTCCAGCCAAAAGAATTATTCCCCCGCTCCTAGTCTCCGTGTCCAATTAACTAGCAGAATGTCCGGCCTGTTGGTCGGAAGAGTTTGATATTATATAATTTGTATGCGTCATTCGCACTAATAATGTGTGTTTTGCTTTGTATTTTGTCATAAACTATCTACTTATTACTCAAACTACTCTTTATATGCTTTGAACGCATTGAAACATGAGAAATACCAAATCACTAACAAAGAAAATGCAACTAATAGTAACATATATAATTAAAAACAAAGTGTTGCCTATATAAAAAAATTCCATAAATGACAACATGAGAGTTGCTTCCTATGATACATACATAGTCAATCTTCACTATAAAAGAAAATTATTGTCCTCTGATGGAAAATATGATGGTTAACGCCTTCAAAAAGTTTTAATCAAAGAAATAACAATAAATATAATGTAACCTAGTTGGTAATAATTCCTTGTCTTCATTTAAGTGACCAGACTTCAAATTCCAATGATGACATTTTTAATATATAAAGATGAATTGGGTGAAATGACCAAAATAACCTTCCTAGAATTAGACCTTAGCTTGAAATAAGGGGTTGTATAAGGAAGTCTTTATTGTTTTTGTGAGATTGTTAAAATACACTTTTTTCATAATACAATACATATGTTTTTATTTTTGGTCATACACAATCGTGAATTATTTGCTTGATTTGACTAAACTATCACTCAAATTGAATGATTAAAAAATCTCGAATCTTAGCACAAATTGTCAAGCTAGTGGGTTTCCGTGTTTGTCATGTTTATTTTTCTGGAATGTAAGGTGCCAGTGTTATTATGTCATCATTGAACACTTCAATTCAATGTGCAATGTTCCAACCAATGATATTTGTGTTGAGATTTTAAGATTATCCTTCATTTATAAGTTAGAAAAAGTAATAAAGTACTTATTAAAATATGAAAATATATGTATCAAACACCACAAAATACATACAGGGGACTTAGCGGGCTAGCTAACCGCGATACATATGTCCTCTGCTTTTCAGATTTAAACTTCCTGTATGTTTTGTATTAGTTAAAGACAACAAATGTGTCTAGTTTAATTGATTATAATTCTTGTCTTTGATTGAAGAGACCGTGGTTCAAATATAGCATTGATATCTTTTTATACGAAAGAAAAAAGTGATTGTATAGACGAAATATCTTTCATACTTTCACTTTCATTGCAAAAATTTAAAATGTAGCAAATCAAACTTTTTAAAATGTATTATTAGTAGCGTAGAAGAGGTAGAGATGTAGATAGATTATAGATTCCCCTTTTCTTCAATTCACTTTCACCAAAAAAAACCAAATAGACAAAAAAAAAAGTTGGGCCTTTAAATTCCTCCCTCGTCCCACTAATTTCCTTAATTCGGTCAATGAAGAAGACTCGGCCTGCTTGTTCTATTCTTTGATTGTTGGGCCAAGAGTGACACTCGGTTCTATTTCTTATTTTTCCACCTAAAATATATCAAAATACTAACATATATAACTAGCTTTTTACCCGGCCCGTTGGCCGGAGAATTTCATTTAATCGTTGACATTAATTCAATTTATCTATATGTTTAAACTATTTTAGACCTTCTAAATTTATTATATTTTGTATTGATAAGTGAGTATGTGGTGTGTCTATATATTGAAAATTCTCAATACTTGGCACATTCACTTATAATGTTTGAATTCTCTAATCATAAACCATGTCACAAAGGTAGACCACGTCCCATGTACAATTTTTTCTATCTTATATGAATCCACGTTGTTCAGATGAGGACATCTTAGTTAGAGTTTCTTTGTACATATACTTCATTATTGGATAGATTTCTTCATCCCAATTAAAAGTTGACACTTTGGATGTTCATGGAGTTTACTGTAAGATCTTATTTGTATTTAGTTTCTTATACAATATGTATCAATTGCTAATTTCTGAAATTTAATTTGGACTAACTGAGACTCATTGTCGTTGTTTATATATTATTTTAGAATCTCAATCCAAGATACTCACATACGGATTTTGATCTTAATATGGTGCGTTAGTGTATAATTTTACAACTTGTAGAACCTTTGTTTTCTAAAATTCATATTTTGGTATTTGTTTAGAAATAAAAATTTCATTACTTATACTAATATATGCATTTTTCTGTATGGCCACATTTATTGTCAATATATAGCATATATATTAAAAAGAGTTTAATTATTTTTAAGTGTAATTAATACTTGTTTTTTACCGGGATTTGTAAAATGTTAAGAAAATAAGGGGAAATATGAACAATTGTAAAAGAAAATAAGGGATGGAAGTACACATTATAAGTGAGAGAAAAGTTATTCTTACTTATCATCTTCATTTATCCAATGAGGTGATCTATTATTCCTCCATTGAATTTTTATCAAATTATTTTATTCCGTAAATATATTATTAGTTATGCATGTGTTTTATTGCAAAAAAAAAAAATGCATGTGTTTGCTAAGAAAGATCATACCTATGATCAACTTCTCTAATCTTGCCTCATTTTCATGTGAATGTTCATGAAGTCTCCTAACGATCTTATGTTAACATATGTCTATCAAGATACCCAAATTTAGTATATTATATAACAGAGTAAATATATTTTATTAACCAAATCTTTCAAAAAAAAATTCAAAATACAAAGTATTAGCCAAACGTTAACTCCCAGTTAGCATTTTTGTTAGTAATATTGACTCAACAACATGATGATGAGTTGGAAGAGACACGTGACGGTCTATAATCCAATTTAGTATTTAAATTAAAAAAGAGTTACAAAATTATTAATGATAACAAAAAAAGGTTAATATTTTGATGTGATACAAAATATTTGGCTAATCATTTGTAGTTCGAAAGGTTTGGCTAATAATTTAAAAAAACTGAAAGGTTTATCTATTTAAATGTTATTTACTCTATATGTATCAATTGCTAAGTTGTCCCCTCCCACATTTTGTCAAGACCGCTACTGAAGTTCTATACCAGATCTGTTCTGTCCAATCCTCACCTTTGTCCACCAATTCACGGCCCATATAGTAACATCGCCAGCTGAATTTTAAATTGTCCTCCTGCACCATTTCTCACATCACATGCGCCACCAAATTGTTGACATAGTTTCGTCTACCGGGGTATCTCCACTCTCTATTGCATTCAACACCCGTTATTTGGTTTGCTTTCCTTCGCTCAAACTTTCTTCTCCTAACGAAAAATCAAAAGGTAATGGCCTAACACCTACTTAGCATATGACGTAAACTGAAAATTTACTTAATAAGATTTATTCAAATATTTTTGTTTAAACAATCGCGATACATGTCAGCTTCTAAACATTAGTATACTGCTCCTACACATATATACTACAAAAGGTACAAATAAATTATTGAATAAAAACAAAAGAAAACATTAAATGAAGATAGAGATAGCTACATAAATTGAGCATTAACTTACTTTTGTGTTTGTAAAAAAAGTGTCAACCATGATAATTTGTAAATTCTTCAAGTGCTTATGTGGCAACAAACTATTGTTGAATTGTCATAGATAGATAGGTAGACAAATAGATAGATTTTAAACCTTTATTTGATTAATGCATAGGTCAATGGTTGATGAACACATGATGTTTAACATACAGTTTAGCAAAGATTCATCTAACTTTCAGATGTATCATTTTTTAATGTATCTCGTGTCTCATCTTAAGATATGAAGTCAAG